ATAGGGAAAGGGAGAATGATTGCAATGCCGGTACGGGTGCGGTGGTGTGCTCGTGATGGACGGACCATGTTCATGATAAAGTTTAGACGCCAGCGAAATCAAATGGCAGCAAATGATCTCTGCCAATGCTACCGCCAGCCGCCGCAACTCCAGTGACAACGGCCTTACAGCTGTTACCGCTACTCGTACAGTGCCTATACCGGTACGAGTACAGTACACATGCACGGCACTCCCTTATGCAAGGCAGAATGTCCACATCAATCATCTCGCATCGAGTCCCTCTCACCCACTCATGGCAGAAATAGCCAGATGTGAAAAGCGCCAACTACGTATGCCCACTCGATCCTTCCCTCTCGCCCCACACACGCGCATGCCATCTTCTGCTCCCTTCCCTACTACCCACTCGGGAGCTTCTCAAATGGTTGGCTGGAGGACCCGGTATTCGTGATGTCAAGAGGAGGGATTGGATACTGGTCGGATATGAAGCGAATCGTCACTGCGAATCAAGACAGGGACCTGATGAAGTCTCGAAACTCCAATCCATTCATTCATCCTTCCACCCTTCCATCCACCCATCTATCCTTCCTTCCTTCCCTTCTGCCTTCCCTTCCTTGCACCCACCTCTGTGACCTTGCCTCCCCCCAGTAGGTCATCTCTTTCACTCTCTCGCTTTTCAATCCTCACTTTTCACGGAAACAATCCCTCCCATTATACCCGTATCCCGACCGGGTCAATCCTTCATCCTGCCTGACAAAGCCAGCTAGCCAGCTAGCCAGCCAGCCAAAAAAAGTTGCTCGTGCGACACAAGCAAATATTCCAGTACCGACCGGTACAGACTCGTACTATAACCCGTCGCACGCATTAAATCTGCAAGGGACAAGCGAGTCCCAACGCAAGGAAAAAGAAGGGCTTCATCCTTCCTTCCTTTGCAAGCGCCCTACCTACCTCCTCACCAACGCAAATCGTTACGAGTGCCCTACCGCACCACCATCTTATCGTAGTGAAGCCAAACCTTTGACAGTGTTCGATGTGACCATCACAGTACAAGTATGATACCGGCAGATGGGAATCTAAAAGTACGGTACCCTACCGTTTCTACCGCATATCACCGTGCCCACCACAACAAGGTGAGAGAAATCGAGCACAACTGTACCAGTAAAGAATCGATCTCCCCTTCTTCTCTTCCTCCTTCTTTTTCTTTTTTTTTTGAACCCTAAAGCAACCATGGTCCGAGCGGGAGGGAGCGAGAGAAAGAACAAGAGCAGAGAAAAAGAAAACTCCGCCCAGGAGCCAGGTTCCCCTTAAGCAGGGGGGGGTTTGAAACGTGACTCATTTATGCCCTCCCCTCCCAATCAATCAGTCAATCTATTACGGTACCGTAACCTAGTCAGCTGGAGAAAAGTAGACTTGGTCACGATCAGCGAAGAAAAAGGTACCGTACTGTACTCGTACAAGTAAGCGTGGGAAGAGACTTTTTAACTTATCTTAAATTAAGTCATACAGGATTCATTCGTTCGCCTCCTGTTTTTTTCTTGTTTAATTGATTTTCCCAGCTGTGATTGTTTCCCTCCTGCTGCCTATGGTAGGTGAGCTTTTTTTTTCCCCCTTGCGGGGCAACGGTGGGTTCATGGATTTCGGGATGGGGGAAGAAAAAGGATGCGGTACGGCAACGAAATGAAAGGACGCAAGGGCAGAACTCGTACCTGCATTATCCTACCATTTCACAAGGGGGCGGGGACTTTTTTCCTCAAGAAGGGGGGTGTGAGTACTTGTACTCGTAGGTGTGTTGGAAGCAGGAACGCCATTCCCGGTTCGGCTACTCGCACCTTATGTTTCGATTAAGCGAACGATACCCATCACTTAACAACCTCAGGCGATGGAGAGGCCATCCCTCGTGAGGCGAGTTTGCCATGGAGTACGGTAGCTTATGCCAGAATCCGTTGCAGTACCGGTACCCGCACAGCTAAATAACTGGGTCGCGAGTCGCCGTTTGCATCGCGAGTACACGGGTACAGTACATTAATTCTACTTGCCCCGCACGTCCCAGCGCCAGAGAAGGCTTCGGCGTGCACAACAAAAGTGGTGTACCGTACTCGAGTACAAGTACTAGCACGGTACTGTATCACCACCTGCGATCGCGCATCCCCTCACTAACGCTCAGAGTAACGTTACACCCAGCTGATCAATCCCGGGTGACTAATTATGAGCCGGATAATTTGCATACTGGTCCCCCCAAATACTGCACCATCCACTACCGTATCCGATGTGTGGTGGTTCGTCGCATGTTTATTACCTGGCTTAGGGACTGATATGTTGGATAGGGCAGGCCGAGATTGTCGAAAATTGGCGGAGCTGAGTTAATGCACGGCGCAAGCACGGGTAGAATATGGATATATCATAGCTTTTCTTAATAGCTAGTGTTGGGCATCCGGATATGCGTGGTGTGGTGGTGATGGGTTTCGAACTCGAGTAGCACTTGCGGGCGTTATGGGGGCACGAGCGTGACACCAGTGAGAAGGGCTCAGAATCCAGACGAGTACTCGAGTTTGGTACAGTACAGTACAGTACCGTACAGCACAACGGCGGATCACGGGCGAAGTTCGGGGATGCGGTAGGCCGGACCAGACCGGAACGACTCGGGCAACGGGGAGCGAAAGCAACGCTCACCAATTCCGAAAACTGCTGGCACCGCAAGAGCTCGAACGGACGATGCGATGAATGCGCCATCATAAGGAGGGACGTTGGAATTCCCATTCCCGGCAATGCGGGGTGGAAAATCCCGCAAACTCAGCTCTCACTTGGGAGATATGGTAACAAAAGGAGTACCAGGTATACATAGCGCTTGATGGTGGCCAGAGGGGCAACTACCGTATGCGCCGTACTTTGTACCAGTATTGTGCTCGTACAACCCCGCAGAGCAATTAATTACCTTCGATTCGAGTCCTTGTGGCACAGCAAACATCAGCACATGCTCTACCGGTATTACATGTACAGGTACTGTAGCGGTACCGTATATCATCCAGCTGAGGACAAGTACTCACGCCACCCCGACTACAAAGTCGAGAGAGACCGGACGACAGGATGCTCCCACCTCGACCACAGACACAACCCACGGTCTCACACTGATATCACACTGTACCGTACGAGTGCTGATACCATACGTATCAAAATCGCACCGACAGCACCCTCCCTCTCCCCCCTTTCTCTACTGGTATCTCATCCGGAAGCCAGTAAGCAATAACAAACATACTTGGACACGTACATGTATAGTACTAGTACAAGCCCCCACCCCCCCCCACCCGCCAATCCCCGCCGATCAGTTCTTCGAATCCCAACATGTACCGTGTCGTATGAACTCTATTTTCGAGTGCAATACAGTAATATTCTGAAATCCACCACCTCCCCCAGTTTCGCGGACGAGACAGAAAAAAGAAAAAGCCCCCAAGAAGGATTAGAGTTTTCCTGATACGATACAGTTTTAAGATCAGCCCTTCACGACATTCTAGAACCCTTTAACCGGCGCCGATGGACCCGTAAACTCGTCCAAGTACCGTGCGAGCCACTCGTGAGCCCACCACCACCATTCCCGGGGCTGGCTGGCTGACTGATGGGTGATGTGGATTTCAAAGAATTTTTTTTTTGAGGGTCGACGAGGAGGATGACAAACCTGATGCCAAGGCTGCATTGTAGGAGAACTCGTATCATACATGGATGGCGGGAAGAATGGATTACCGGTACGAGTATAGCCCTATAAGGAGGCGGTCAAACTGGTGGAGAATTTTGTGATAGTGCTGAGCGTTCCAAATCTGATCTACCGGGTTTAGAGTTGGGGCTATGATAATGAACGGGTTCGAGAACGTGGTTGAAGCCTGAGGCTCGGTGGATGGATGGTGAGATTGCTGGGCGTAGAGTGGGTAAATTTACGGTAATGCTGCTGCTGCTGCCGGGCATGTGTTGGGGACAGTGGAGGAATAGAGAGACTTGGAGGGAGTACGGGGTTCCGAGTCTGGTAAGTATTGATGAGTATTAAGAAGTGAAGAGTAATGTCTGGATAGAATACCAGTTTAGGAAACATGGGATTTGAAACTTGAATCGCATAAGTGCTGAATTCAACTTCTGAAGAGTTGTTTTCTGCTTTTATTATTGTTCTACAACCTTGAAGCACCATGCAAAGAAATCAACTTTTAAAGAGCTGGAATAAATAATTGTATAATATGAGCCTGTGTCAATAGAAAACCCACTCTCGGGTAAAGTGGTTGTAAGCAGAAAAGTGCATGAATTACCTCAATAACAACATATCTTTTGAACCACTACTTGCTATTCAAAAAAAACATCATTATCAATTGAAGACCTATATAATTTAGTTTATTACTAATTCTCTTATTCTTTGAGCTTGTGGTTTAGGGGTAAGCTTGTTTTGTATAGTAAAGAGTGTATTTGACCAAGTTTTAGTTTTTCCTACATAAAATGTTCTACAGAGGTCATTAGGTGACAAATAATATTTTCTGAGCTACTGAACATATACTCTAGGTGTCTAGCTAGGTGGCTAAGCTTAAATAAATTATTTGTGGTTGTGGCCTGAGAGTGGGTTTTCTATTGACACTGGCTCATATGATAGCAGAAAATGCTAGAGCTATACAGAGAAGCCTTGTTTCACCATTTCTGTATAAACTGCTAAAGGTTTATAAAGTGGATTGAAAATGCAGCATAGATTGATATATATATTATAATAATATTATTATGAAAATTTTAATATTTTTTTTCCCTTACCTCTTTATAGAATGGGTGTAAAGCACATGACTTTACTAAGTAAAATATTACAACAATAGTAGATAATACTCTAGCGTATATCTACCACTATTATAATACCGGTATCTCACAGAAACCATTGGTACATATTATAGGAAGCCATTTTGGCATACAAATTTCCCAAATCTGACCTGATGGAAATTACTTGGACCAAGATTGAGCAGGCAAGTTTTACCTCACTCTTCTCTTTTATACTATTATCATCTCCAATCTTCAAGTTCTTCTCTTCTCAGGAGTAGAGACAACTATTCAGAAGAGTAAATAAACTACTAGTGTCATATTAAAAGCCATATTGTCCTGTATTGAGGTTTGTATTATGGACAATGTGGGAAATAATATTTATTTCTAGCTACTGTATTTTTACTTGTTGATTTTGGTTTTCTATCCCCCTCTTCCAAAATTCAATTTCTTTTTTTACTTGCATGACAAATTTTGCATTTACTCTGTATAGTTCGAGATCTTGGTACTCTCTATAATTGAACACCTCTGCTAACCTAACCAATCGATAACAATGGCACTCACGCACCTCCATGCACCTTCCTGCATCCTAGTGCACCCTAATGCACCATCATGCGAGTTCTGGTTGTTTTCACAAACGTCACGACATTACGAGTACCAGTACAGTGCTCGCACGTCTTTGCCACGAATAACGCCGGGCACCGATTAATTGCCTGTTTTTCCCCAAAGTTCGGTACTCGCCGTTGTTCTTGCCAAAGGCGTGCAAGTACCGTACAGTACATGGCCCCAAAGCCAGGGGGGATTGGCTTTTGTATGGTACGGTGGTATGGTACGTATGATGGTATGGTGGGTGCGGTAGGTCACAGTAGGTGGAGGGGAGGGGATGTGGTGATTATGGTAGGGGTTGGCTGCGATATTCCATTTAATCTGTGTATGAGGGAAGGAATTTTAGAATGGTTCTATCGCTAGTGTATTGGCATTATCTGGTTTATGGATATGATACAGGCTTCTAACTAATGGTACATTACTCCTACGGGTGTCGTTGTGAAATAGGAAGGAGGGGGGGAAAAGAGTACAGAGGCTAGTTTAGAATTTTCCAGCAAGCAATTGTCCGACAATTCCGTGCGCAGTCCAGTAAACCGTGTTCCACAGGTTTTGAAAGTCCAAAGTCGAGGTGAATGTATCTAGGAAGCCGAACGGAAGCATGGATGGGATCCAGCCTGATTAACCAATTAATTAATAACTTCGCGAAAGGCCACCAACGGCTCAATTTGGACAAGAGCGCAGGTTTTCTGAAATAAAACAATTTACCCACCTTGCGCAAGCTCTAGAGCCCATCCATTAAGAGTGTACTGAACCGCACGACCCTTAGGAAGGTGGTTCTGCGAACCGGGTTTGTACACTGTTGGCTCGATGTCACCGGGATAGAAGACAGACTGCTCGCCATGAAGAATTGTGAAGTAGTCGTGTGCGAGGTGGACGCCAGAGTGACCTTCCGTTCCTAGAGGAGTGCCGAAGAAGATGAGGTATTCGGTGACGGAGGCGTGGAGGATAATCATTGAGCCCTAGGGTAAAAATTGTCAGCACCATACATAACCATCCAAGCCCCAAGCTATCGTAAGAAGCTTCGCTACCACAAACAGGCAATACAGTCATTTGATCTACAATCACACCAATTTTTTCGTTGGGAGGTTCTAGTTTGCCGGGGAAGATGGGGTTTGTGGGCAAGTATTGGGTAGACCGACGATAACTGGAGCTGGAGACAATGAGTGTATCAACCAAAGGACCATCTTGCGGGCAAGGAGTTCCGAGACTAGTAACTTTCATCTCGGGTTTTCAGGGGGATGGAATGGCAGTGGCGAAACGGCTCCATCACAACAACCAAGTAAATAAAAACATACCATAGCACCACCAGCATTACTACCCCCAGATAAGCATACGCCCAAACCCAAACCAGCCCGCAAGAAGGAAAAACTCACTTGAAAAACCACGCATCCTTCCTCAGGGAATTGATGTGCTTCTCCCCATACTCCGCCCTCAGCGATACCTGTAAGTCCTCCATCAAGAGCGTGGCATTGTCAGGAAACTTCTCGATAGAAGCCTGCGATAGCTGCTGCAGCCGCACGGGATCGAAAATGAAGAAGCGAAGGAGGAGTGTGTCGACAGAGTAGTATAGAGCTGGCAGAAACGCTAGCAGGTATGCTATTGCGCGCATCTCGGCGGGAATTGGCGTGGTGTGCAGTGGCGGCGATGGTGGTACTGAAAGTCGTCGGTGTTGCGAGGGAAGCAGTTGGGGTGCTGCGAGGGAAGGAGGGGGAGGCGAGGAAAGGAAAGAGGGTGAGGGAAGGAAGGAGGGCGAGGGCAAAGGAAGAGAAGAGGTGTTGTTACCGAGGTGGAAATGGTATCATACCGTACCGGCAGGGTGGGGTCAAGTGAATTGGCCAAGGGCTTGGTGATTCGGCGCATTTACACCACAACTTGACATTTCGAGTTATTAAATGGGGTCCTACCCCAAACGGGAGACAAATTTTCCAAGTGGTTATATATACACAAAGATTATTATTCAACTTCTTAGAGAGTCCTCCTACACTTCGCTATTTACACTTCGCTATTATGTTGCTGATCAAACCATACAAACTTGTGATGAGGTGTTGCTATGGCAACTCTTGCTATTGTAGAGTAAATGATAATAACAACTTTTGATGGACGGCATAACTTTACAAGCTTGTAGCACTTGCAACTGGTGCTAGGTGGACTTCAAATTACGGTAATCCTCCGTAAGGTACCGGTATTACACAGATGAAATGACTTTAGAACCAAATAGGAGAAAAGGCGCATGGCTGTTGATAAACTACAGGCGGTTGAAAAGTGAGGGTTCTGCCTTGTGGGAAACGGGCTAAATGACCCGTGCTTAGTCGCTTTAGGTACCTCTTGGCTGTCCTGAAACAGTCAAATTCGGTCCCAAGTACGCTAGAGCAGAGTTTCTTGGCGCTGAGAATGCGACCGAGTGATATTAAATGATCTCGGACAGGCAGCCATAAAATGGGGGCCCGGTCGCGATAAGCAGGACGGAGGGGCAGGGCAAGTAAACTGAGGGGTATCACCTATTAGGCAAAAAGTCCAGCATGTATTATAGCATAATACTCTTAACAAAGGGGAATGCTGCAACCGGGTTGCTAATAGCTATTTGAGCCCAGAGAATGAGTGCCTGTTTTTATTAACAGATAATATATTTTTAAATCTAAATGAATATTGCACACTTGTAACATGTTTACACTGGGGTACTATTTTTTTTTTGTTTGACTCATTTAAATTTTTGTTTATGGGACAAAAAGGCATATGGAGCACTAGCTATGACGCCTAAAAAACTGCCCCCCCCCGGACCAGGCTGAATGACAGAGCTAAAAGAACCCTCTGGGGTAGAAAAAACTACTCCTGCCTGTAATCCTTCCCATAAACTGCTCCACCCAATAACCCCCACCACCAGGCGACAAAAGAAAGCCAACTACCCGACAGTGAACTAAGAACCTACCAAAACCCCAAGAACGAAACACCTAAAGGCAGAAACCCAAACCAAACCCCTAAGGGCCAACGATCACAACTCAAATCCAATATAGGAATCCCTAGGCCATATGACGAGGGCCAGGAGGAGGGAGCTGAAGCCCTGGACACGAAGGGTATAAGGAAAACCACCCCGAAGGTGGTGACCGAGAAGTGAGGAGAGGAGGTGTGTGGCAGTAAGGTGCCAGCTTGAGAGGAGGTGGCAGTATGGTGCCAGCCGATCCGACCATAGAGAAGCGGAGAGGAGGCCCGGGGGTAGACCCAAATCCGTGAACCACAACTATCGGTAATCGCGTTCGTGTCTGACTAGGCAGCCTCTTATAGGAGCAAAAGAATGGAGAGATTGACTGTAGCCTGTAAGCTGTTCTCTCCTACTGCAACTGTAGTCCTGGCCATCTGTTGAAGGTGGAAGAGGGGGTTGCCGACCATGCCAATGCCTAAGCAAGGTGGGGTAGGAAGAGGAGAAATATCGCGAAGATGAAAGACCCCAACCAAGGATAGAACCAAGAAAGCCAATAAATAAATAAGGGCCTCAAGGGAGAGGGGAAGCGAGCTCACCTCCTGTAGCTGAGGCTAGAGGGGGGGAGATGGGGGGGAGGTGGTGGTGCTAGACGATAAAAGCCATGATAGTAACCATGGTGTTGAGTTTTCAATCGCTAGAGGTGTAGCGGAGATGGCGGATGTTATACTGGGGTACTAGTCACACTTTTGTATATAATAGGAGTAGCATACAAGCTGATCTATAACTTGTGAGAATACTGTGCTAAGGAAGGCTCTCAGAGGAAGATATAAAGAATAGAGACTTGAAGAGATAACTGTTCAACCAAGTATATTAGAATACTACTACCTGTTGAAGTCTACTCTTCTATCAAGGAAATCAGTAGTCTTTAAATACATAAATCTATTTATGTTTAGCATAGATAATATCCTAAGTGCTTCTCAACCAAGGAGATACTAGTACTTTAAACAAACAAAAGTATTAAAGAATACTGGGAACCAAAAGTAAAACAAACTGAGTATCAAGAAATACTTAAACTACAAGTAAAAAAAACTGATCATTAAAGGATACTTGAAACCATAAGTGTTATGAACTGTGACTAAGCAAGGCAGATTTTACATAGCTCAGGATTCTGAGCTATAGGTATGTTGGAATTTTACATGATACACCCTCAGGCTTGTGTATTATAGGTTATTATATTTACTTGTTCATGACTCACAGTTGTGGGTTATACGATATTATGATTTTCACACATGACTCAAATTATGAGTCATGGGTTTCACTGGGGTGATATGAGTTGCATACCTGACTTGGTTATTAAGTTTTGATTGGTTTAAAGTATGTGGCATAGCGACTTATAGGAGTTAGCTAAAGGATTTCACATAACTTACAGTTGTAAGTCATAGGGTTCATGTGATACAAGGTATGAGTCATGCTAGGTAAAGAGTGACTATATAAAGAGTCACTAGGACACCTAGTATGAGCTCTTTACATGTTCTTCTAAGTTATTTCTTACACTTGTACTTACGTACTAGGGAGTAACTCTTTCTATCACAGTACCATTTCATGATACCTTTCTTTGGCCCAACTGGGGTTAAAGTTTCTTTTTATCACTTTCATCATAGCTTCTACCCCTTCTCTTATTCTACTTCCATCTACACAGCCTGATGGGACCTCCCAGTATCACTTATCACCAATTTTTTGGCCTCAGGACTCCCCCTCGCTTAAATGACTATGCAGTAGTACTACCTTAAGTTTACCACAATACTTGGCAAGTAAATTTAGAGGCAGCCCTAATGGTGCCTTCATGAGTATGTTTGAAGAGTTTTTTAAGGCACAGCAGATGGTATCACTGATTGATTTTGCAAAAGCCCTTTCCATTCTGATCTACATGATGTAAATATTGGACAAAGACTATAGGAAGGCAACTGATAGGCTTACCAAGCACATCACTGCTCTTACTGAGGAACTGAATACTCTTCGCACCTCCGTCCTATCTCAGCCAACTCCTCCTACTGCCCTACTAGTATCTCCTACTACCTCCATTCTAGAGGAACCCTCTGTTCCTCCCCTACCTTCTACCCTTCCCCATACCCAACCTCTTGGTTAAACAACTCACTCTTCTTGGGCTACTATTACCAGGAGAGCAAGAAAGCCTCCTTTAAAACCTATAAAGCCTGGTCTCAAGCCAGCCAAACCCTCCTCTACCTCAGTTAAGCTCCTTACCGACAAGAAAAAGGACATTATTATGTGTGAGTATTAGCTCATCATCAAGCAAGATGCCACGCCTCTTACCACTACTGCTGTACAGCTATGCGACAGTATCAACCAGGCTCTGACCTCAACTCTTGTTCAATCTGTCTCCTTTTAGGCTAGACGTGTTACTCTTACTACTACTATAGATATGGTTAGAGCTACAACTGTCAATAGCAAAGTTGGTACCTTTTTACATCTTATTTCTGATGCCTCTACTATCTACCTTAATACCCTTGCCAGCCAGCTCCTGGTATAAGACATTGCTACCTCTACCTCTCTGGTGTCTCTTGCCCAAGAACTTGCTATATTTAACTCTGGCTTATCTCTTTCTGAGTAGCCTAGGTGCCTCACCTCTGATTTAGCACATATAGGCAAATCTATCTCAACTGTTGTTATTTCCATTGCTGGATCCAAGGCTTCCTCTTTTGTTGACAAATGCCTTTCTGCCTTCTCCAATACCTCCTGTACTGAGTGCTGTCTATGCTTCAACAAATACACTCAGTATGCCAACTGCTACAAGTTTGACCACCACAACATCAAAGGCATCTTATCTGCTTCCTGCTACTAGTGCCTCCTTCCTCACCCTACTGGGAATCACTCCTGCTCCACAGTTACTTGCCGCCTTTGTGGCTGTCCCTGCAATTATACCATACCTAGATGTGTGAACTGTGATAGCCTACATGAATCCCACTCATCTGTCTGCCCTTCCTGCTCCTGTCCAGCTATTCAAGACTCTGAGGCTTTAGGGGATTATGAGGACTCAGAAGGGGTGGATATAGATACTAGCTCCATATATGTTGACATATCTGTAAGGATAATATTAGGAGAATTTCTTTTGTTTATGATTGTATCTTTGGATGTAGGTTGTGAGGCTAGAGCAGTGCTACCAGTAGTAGCATTTTTTTTGATTTAGTTGGAATTTCTATAGCCTAGCTAGGTAGAACGAATAGGTACCAGGCTATTGATAAACTTGTACCTAGCTTTCATGGGTTTGCTGTGGGGTGGTGTTAGCTTGTAGTGTTCCTGGCATCACTAATGGATCAGGAAGGTTTGGATTTGGAGATTGCAGTATCTTGTATTTAGTTGTATATGTAGGTAGCTCAGCTCATATTAATTTGTTACCAGGATAGGACTAAATCATATACCAGATTGGCATGACTAGTAGAAATAAAATTAGATTGAATCCTATAGTACTTATTATTTTATAATAAAACACTCTTATACTCTCTACTCTACTTTAAGAAGCCGAGAACTATTTCTCCTCCCATGATACAAGACTAAGTCCTGAGTAAAGACTGAGAAGAATAAGGAAATAGGCATGATAGGATGGAAGTCAAAAGAACTTAACTGTGACTATTGATATTATGTAGGCATTAGCCTGAAAACTATTCCCTTACTGCGAAGTAAGAATCATTACTTGTCGTATTCCTATATCTAGTAAGA